TGTGTGTGTGTGTGTGTGTGTCTGTGTGTGTGTGTGTGTGTGTGTGTCAGTAAGCAGCGCATTATTAATATAGAACGGTAATTAAAGGCTCTAATGCACACCAGTATAGGTGTGTGTAGGAGCTAGACGACGTATGATGACGTGTGACGGCATAGTAGTGGTGTCCCAATTCTTAGGGGAATATTTTCACCCCTACTCCTTGACACTCTGTTTCAAGGGACAAGGGGAAGGGGTAGGCGGAGGGGAAGGGAAAGGGGTATACAATAGAATTGGGATTGGGCCTAAGTATTGGACAGACTAGGTATCTGGTTCCATTATTTCAGTACTTCCCACAACACTCTCCCTTCCTTTCCTTTTTGCTTTCTGCATGGCAGTAGAAGGTTTATGATCTTCAATCCTATGTTATATCCCTCATTCAAGCTATGGAAGAGGCCTGTGACCTAATAGATGCAGAGTCTGTGTAAGGATAGATTCACCATTCGAGGAGATTCTTCCCTCGCTGTCTTGCGAGGGAGGACATTGACTGTGATATGGATGAAGTGGCCATATCCAGCTATACGAAGAGATGTTGCTAAGGTGTATTTTCCCATCTCCACAAAGGTTTATGTACTATATTGTATTTGGAATATGTTCTGATTTTCAGTGCAAAATGCAGCCTAATTGCAATGATGTACTGAAGGATTTTACAATGCGGTGAAAAATAAATATTTTCATGAATGTGAAGTACTTGTCTCATGTGTTCTGTTTGGTCAATACAAGTGTTTAAAATTGAGCACAGCAGTGTCTAAGTGGTTCAATCAGAATCCAACTGTATGAACCATGTGTGTGCCATATGGTACCAAAACTGGGTTTTGTTAAATTGTTGGCAAGTTTTGAATGAAGTGCTTCGTTTTGCAAAAGATCTGAGATGTTCTGATACTTGTGTGTGTGGATATGTGAATTGTGTGTTTTGACAAAATGAGCCTTGTTTTTAAAATCGTGCTTAAGCAATTTTATAAAACTGTAATTGACTGAATATTGTGTGAAAACAACATGAATTGTGTTAATGGTATGGTCACAACAGACGGATGTTGTGCTAATTGTGTTTAGAGTTTTGAAAATGTGACTATAGATTGGACAAAGAGATGTTAGCAATAGAAAAAAAACTGTATAATAATAATTATTATTATTGTTGTTGTTGTTGTTTAAATGGATCTAATATTATTTGTTCTATACAAGTCGAACTGAAACATGACAACTAATGCCGTTTTTGTTCTGCCATTAATTGTTAGCATTTTGACATGCACTATGATTGACTATATGTTCCTTTTGGAAAGAAAACTAGTGCTAATGTTTTGACCGAATGACTCGATTTTGAATCGGGTTTGCTGTGATTTGATAGAGTTAGCATATGTAGAAAAAGGTATTCAGCATTTTGAAATGTACAGTTTGTATTTATTTAACAAAGTATAGTTTTGGACAGAAAATCAACTATTTGACTAACTGTGTGATGTAGGTGTGTTGCTGTGTTAAGAGTTTAGAAAAAGTACTTTAAGTATTGGTGAACACTTGTTAGCAATTGAAAATAAACTACACACAAATATGACATATGTTAAACACTTGCAAATCTATTGTCTTTTGCTTGTTCGGGTTTGTCATAGCACTCAAATGTGTACATGTATGTGCAAAAATACCCTGTATATACAGTATGTATGCACAATTGATTAACTTTACAGTTACTGAACTGAATCATCATTGAACTGACTTGAGCTGTATAATGACACTATTGGCTTGTTAGAGCTGCTTTACAGAACAATTTGAATTATTGCTTCTAATCAATATGCATTGTATAAAGTGTAAAAGAAATACAGAGTTCTGGCATGAAACTCTAGATGGCGCAGTCAGATAGGTCTAATTCAATCTAAACTAATGACATCATTATCACATGGCACAGCTGATTGGTTCTCTCCTGTATCAGTAGCCAATGAGCTTGTTGCTCAACATTCAAATATATGACTAGTGCTTGCCGTAGCAGTTCGCAGCGTGCCCAGTAACCGTCCACCTTCCCCAGCTCCACCTGTATAGATCTGCTATGAGGTGATTCATGTACGCTATATGGGGGTTATTCCATGTATGTTCTATTTGCAGCAGCAGTATTTCTTACATGCTCACAGCAGCATGTTGTGGATGTATTGGCAGTAGCAAGTCTCGGTACTTGCTCTGCCACAGCAGCAGCAGAAGCAGAAGCGTAGCATATCTATTCTGCCAATACCAAATACATTTACATTGTCATGTACGTTACCTTGCCAATCCCTCTGAGAGTTGTCAAGACAGAAATTAAGTTATTTGCATATTCAGTATATTAGGGATGCACCAATACTGAGCTCCAGTACTCGTACTCGTACTCGTTAAAATGCCCCGAAACCAAACGCCGATACCACACAGCATGCGATAAGTGCCGTATTCAGACAAATAAACACTGACAACAGAACAACAGACAGCAGAATGTTTATTAGAGATTAAGGATGTCTACGAAGTATATGTATGCAATGAATATAATGTTACAATTCAGTATTAATGCCTGTATAGCTGACATGTGCGAGCTGATAAGCAAAGCACGCAGAGTGGGTTGAGCGTGCGGCAGCGCACATGCGCAAGCTTGTAGAGTTATTATCCCTTTCACACAGACATCACTGGAAAGTTGGTCGGATATGTCAAAAACAAGTAAGTAAAACAATGCACAAGTTACTTAACGGTAGGGAGAGAGAGAGAGCGAGAGCGGGCACTTCTGTGAGAGAGAGAGAGCGCGGGCACTTCTGTTGTGTGATCTTTGATGTTCACTCATTTGGATTAAAACTAAACCCTAAAAATAAGACCATTTATAGGGGCATTCACTATAAACATCATTTATTTTCAACCTTAGGCATACACG